CAGCTCCTGTGGGACAGAGTGGTCTTATTCTTTGACTTCCTTCCGGTAGATGTCACGGTGCTCAGTGCAGCACCAAAACACACACAGTAGGAAGCCAGAAGATTAACGAGCACATCATGGGTGACTTGAAATCCCTTCGAGATCTCACCTTCACATCTCAAGCTTTCATCCAAAAGGACCGTTGAGAGTAAAAGCCCTCTCCTTTGATGGGGAAGGGCCATTAATTGCTTCTGCAGTTAACAAGAGTAGGCTGGGTGCACAAAGGACACACCTGCTTCTGACATGGGAATACCCACCCAGTCAACAGCAGCTTTCACTGATCACTCACACGGTGGCTTCCATATGGCCTGAAGTGCCTGATCCCGTCTAATCTTGGAAGATAAGCAGGGTCAGGTCTGGTTGAAATCTGGATGGGTGACCCAAATCTTGTGAACTCCTCAGGGAGCTGCTGCTATGGCAGTGTAGAGATAGACTGTAATAAGAACAATAATGACAATGACAGCAGCTGCTTCATTGCCGCCCTGACTTGGGACCAACCAGGTTCCTGGGAGAGAGATGCTATCCCTCTTTCCCCATTTCAAAATAAATTCAGGCAAGAACCCTGACCAGACTAAACAGTGTCTTTGACTCCTTCTGAAGACCCAGCTTGGATCTTCTCATTATTACAATACTTATTACTTTCTGCTGGCCTAGAAGAATGTTATCCTGGGCAAATGTGTACGATCCACTCTCACCATAGGAGGTCCCACTGAATTTTAAATGTGCCACTGCCCTACCCCAGCTCTGTGGGAGTGTCCCACGACTCCTTTAGGCAAAGGTGCAGTAGCAAGACTTCCCCATACTATAAGGCCATTCTGCTTCTTCTTGAGATATTTTATGGTCTGTATATTCGTGTTCTGAGACATCAACGATATGTGCACCCCTGAAAGTCCAGAAGGACAACACCGGCCACCATATTGTGTCTCCTTCATGGAGGAGACTGGTTGGTGACAGTGGACCTCTGAGATGCCTACCTCCATATCACCCTGTACCCCGAATCGCCCCCATTCATCGGATTTGCAGTATGCAAACAACTCTCTCAATTCACCTTCTTCCCCTTCAGCTTTGCTGTAACACTGAGAGTTGTTACCAATTGCATGGCAGTGGTCACAGCATACCAAATATTGCAGTTTTCCCATGCATCAACAACCAGCTCTTCAGGGCTTCCTTCCAAGAGCATTGCTTCTGCTCGCTCTCTTCTAAAATCTATCAGTTGTATCTCAGTGTTGTAATCCTGAGGAAGAATTCACAGCCCTGAGAATAAATTAAACCTTCTGCACCAGCCTTTGCTTCCTGCTCTTGGTTCTTGAACAGTGGGAATCACTGTACCTTTTCCCTGCCACACCATAGAGGTCTCAAGTCTCAGATGGCCATATCTCACAGAAATTGGCCATATCCTTGGGTAATAATGCAATAGGAGAATAGTCACAGCACGCAAAGGCTTCTGGGAAACAGAATGTATGCGCATTGCCCTACAGCTTCTCAGAAAGGTCTTCCAAGGAGCAGCACAGAAAAGGTGGGCTGGCCATCCCTCGAACACAGGATGGCAGGGCTGCAGTGTCCCTCATCAGCTGTGCCTCTCCTCAGCCTTTTTGAACAAGTGGCTCTTTCTGAAATAAAAAAAGAGGAAGTATTATAAAGCGCCAATGCAGCCTATTCCTTGGAACTGGGACAACCTAGAACTGGGGGGCAGTTCTCTTCCACGCAGGAAATACATCCGAGTGTGAAATATATACTCGTACACCCTGCCTTTGAGAGGGGTATATTCAAGAATACCTCCAATCCATACAATCCATTCTGCTGTATAATCTAGCGAACAAGACCATGTGGGTCTGATTTTTCCAGCTAAAAGCAGTGGGACTCAAACATGCTTGATTTGAGCCAGATCATGTTTAGACTAGAAATTCACACATGCCTTTGAGAGTAGTGTATGCCTTGTCATAGAGTCATGTGAAGTTTATTTATTTTATTTATTTGGAGTTTTTGTATGCCGTCCCATTCGCATAAGCCATTCGCATAAGTTGCAGGCTGTTGTGAATTCTTTCTCCATCCTTGGGTAATGCTAGGAAGTACAGATACTTAATTACACTAAAAATGAGTGTATTAACTTTTTGGCTAAAAATATCAAGCAGAAATATTTAGTTCTTGCCTTTTTTCCTGTGTCATGATTGGCATTGAAACCATCTTTATCTAGTCACTGGCTTCTATAAGAACTTTATTTTGTCTTGAAAGCTTTAAAATCTTATCATTCTTCACTCTGTGGACCACAGATGTCTCAGTGATATCTTTAGTTCCTCTTATCAGTTGTCTGGCAGGTAGGAAGTGCAAATTTACGCGTTTTATCGTGCATAATTTTTCTCTCTTTGTGGTATTATTTATAGGTTACATAGGATTTCTTTTTTCTTAGCTTGAGTGATTGAAGACCTTAATAACATTCGTTAATCTCCCCAGGTTTGTTTGGCTTTTTTAAATCCTGAGGAAGAATTCACAGCCCTGCAACTAAGTTAAATTCCCTCCCTTGGTCTTCTCTTCCTGCCCTTGGTCCTTGTGTAATGGTAATTGATGCTCATACTCCCTGCAGCACCATAAAGGTCCCAAGAACATAATCATTCTCATCCTCATTGGTGGTGGGAGCATTTTATTTTATTTATTTATTTAAAAGTTTTCTATACCGCCCCATCACAGACGTCTCAGGACAGTTTGCAACAGATTAATAAAATGGAATTAAAACTAGAAATAGGAGTAACAGTTGCACAGCATCTGGTGTTAAAATATATAACCACTAAATAAAATCAGTTAACAGTTAAAATACTAGGAGAATAAAAAGGGTTTTGCCTGATGCCGAAAGGAAAGAAGCATTGGTGTCAGGGGGACTCTCTGGGGAGCATGTTCCACAGTCGGGGCACCACCACAGAGAAGGCTCCTCCGGATAGTCACCCTCTTGATCTCCTTCAAGGACGGCTCCCAGAAGAGGGCCTCTGCCTCAGATCTCAAGGGACGGGCGGGCACATAGGGGAGAAGGCACTCCTGCAGGTATCCAGGACCCAAGCCATTTAGGGCTTTATAGGTCACCACCAGCACCTTAAATTGGGCCCAGACTTTGACTGGGAGCCACTGTAAGCGACAGAGGACTGGCATTATATGTGAATACCTGCCAGTCCCCATTAGTGTCCTGGCAGCTCTGTTCCATCCCCGCCTGTACAGCAGACTTGGATGTGTGTTCGTTTGGCAGAGAAACAAGACCATCCCGAAATAAGAGAGTTATTTCTGCATTTGTGGGGTTCCCCTGAATATGCAATATATATTTGTAAATTCAAGAAAAAGACTGTATGACCCTCCTTCCCTGGAAAATGGCCCTTTGAGCTTCTAGGGTCTGCAAAACATTCGGGCCGCAGGAATGTAAAAAATAATATAACTCATCAGCTTGTCTGAAGTGTGCAGTCTGGATTCACAGGAATGCCAAGAACAGGAATGGCCAACGCTATTCCCCAAGCATAGATATGCTAAAACGCGGAATTTTTCCTTTTGTTTTGCTTTGGTTTTGTACAGGAGCTCTCACTCCTGTCCTGGAAGGGAGGGGGAACAGAGAATTCTGTGGGAACCGGAAGTTGGGGGTAGTGTATAAAATTGGAGTAAAATTTAGTAATCAGTGCGAGGCTGAGGCTGCTTGACTCATGGAAAGCTTAAGCTGCCCTTTGGGGGAAAACAAAGGAAAATGGGAAGGGAGACGTTGGGTTCCCCGAAACTAGTTTAAGGTATTTTTGGCATTAGGGTTGGGGAGCAGGGGAGGAACATGCACCCCTGGGTGGAAAAGCTCCCTTCCCTGTCTGTGTAAGAATAGAATGTCCAGGCCTTTGACAAGGTCTCGTGAGGATGGGACTGAAAAATAGGTATTATCTGCAAATCCCATCACTACATCTCACGGAAGTGAATTCCATATTTTAGTTATGCACTATGTGAAGAAGGGCTTCCTTTTATCTGTCCTGAATCTCCCACGCATCAGCTTCATGGGTGAACCAAGGTTCTGGTATGATGGGAAATGGAAGAAAACAACTCCCTCCTCACCATGCACCGTTTTGTGCATCTGTCATGTCTCCCCTTATTCACCCTTTTTCCTAAGCTAAATAGTCTCTGCTGCCCCTGTGCCAGCCCCTTGATCCTTTTAAAGGCCCATTTCTGCATTTTTTCCAAACGTACAAAATCCTTTTTAGATACGGTGACCGGGGCTGTACTCAGTATTTTAAGTGTGGTTGCCCCATAGATTTGTGTAAGGAGAGCATGATCCTGGCAGTCTTATTTTTCATCCCTGTCCCTTTTTAAGCCTAGCATCGAGTTTGCCTTTTTCACAGCAGCTCAGCACTGCGTCAGTCTTCCCATCGGCAAGATCCCTTTCGCAGCCGTTTACTGCCAGCTTCAGGTGGAGCGGCTCCTGGTTTAGCTTGCAGGCCATCTCTGACTGTTCTGTTCTTCTTTCTTTATTGATATTTTAGAGCTCCTTCTCTCTGCTTGCGCAACTTACTTGGGTATCTCATTGATGAGCTCTGAATTTGCTGCCAAGACTGTGTTATGGGGTTTGCATCCTGATTTGGTTGCATGCTGGGACTTGTTTCATAGGGACTTCTTTCCTGGGACACACACACTAATCCATGGCTCTTATCTAGAGTGTTGACTGAATTTCCCTCACCATGGGGGAAAAAACCCTAATACATTCCTGGAGTAATTTAGACTGTGTTTAGAGACAACTTGGGCTCTGTAATTTTTTGTATTGTTGTAGCAGAACAATATGGTTCCGGTGATGCTTTTAAATCTTGCCAGAACTCAGGTTCCATTTAGCTTCTCTGAGTCATTTCATATGACTCCTTGACTGTAACAGGAGAGGCAGAAAGGTAAATATAGCAGCTCCTAGAAATGAAAAACATGTGAACTGACATAAACAATCCAATTTGTTTGTTTTTCCGCAGACAAAAAGGAAGTGAAGGTGGGAGAATATAATGCTATACTTGATTCACTGGAAATCATCAACAACTCCATCAAATTCCATGGTAAGAAGCAGCCACAGAATGGAATAGATTTCTCTGCATAATATTTTGGGCGCGTGCAATGCTACAGAGATGTTTCGTCACGACTCTGGGAGCAAAAGTGGCTCAAGTAATCTGCTGACTCTGGATGGCCATGAGAGATGAGGAAGGGCCTCTCCAGAGTAAAGTTCCACCCCCATAGCTTTCCCTCAGGGTATAAGCAGGCAGAACACTGATCATGCCAGGCAGTGGTAAAATTAGGGGACAAACCGCTGTCGGTGCAATGATCTTGGTATTGTAGGCCTTCTCCTGCCCTCTTTTGGCTTTTCCTCTCCTCTCCCAGAGGGCAGCCATTACATCACCTTCTGGTCAAAAGGCCAGGAACGCCATGTATTTTGAACAGAAACCAGGGTTGTCTGGAGCCCCTTGGAATTCTGCCTTTAGCAGACCATTAAATCCTTTTTATTCTTTATTCCTTCTAGTTTTCCCTTCCCCTTCCCATTTACATTCCCTCAGCATCCAGTTGGGGCACTGAGATACCAGCAATTGTGGTGTGAATTTCCACCACCGTTCCTCTCCACCAGGGACATGTATTCCACTAGGCACGGTAGATCCTTCATACTAGGGTCCAACATTCAAAGAACATTTGTAAGTGCCATAGAAAGAACACAGGGTGCTTCTGATCTGCTAAGTTTGGCCCACCAGGCCTCCATATCCAGCCCATGAAAGCCTCCAGGACCACTGTCCCCTTAGAGAATAGAAAAAGAGTCTTGCTGAGTAGTTTCTTCTCACTCAGACATGATCTTGAGTGCACCTTGAGACCAAAGCTCTCCTGGTTTTGTTCACCATCTTTCCTCATTCTGGGAAACAGGAAGTGTTTCTCAGGAGTTCTGTCCCTGTTTGACACCAAGGTCCATTGCAGGCACGAATCTTTGGCCGGACTTCAGTTCAAACAGTCGAAGTGATATGCAGACTGCAGAATCAATGGTACATTGAGAGAAAAGAAATTTGAATCCATAGAATATTTTGGAGGAAGAAGGTTCTCCCAGGCTCCCTGCCCTCATACAATGATTGGGCTGCGGCCTTTTGTAAACAGGATGTGTTTTCTCTCTTTCAGGGCTGGTGTCTGTGTTTTTAGAGTACTTTTTCACATGTGCTTTAGCTGGGATTATTAGCTCTTCTAAGTAGTGCTGCATTTGTATGTGAGAAAAGATCTGATCCATCTCCTCCCATCCTTCTTCATTAAAAATGCAACAGGATTATATGGGTATGAAATGTGGGGAGTCAGCTGCTAAGTTCCTTTAGCATTAGTCTCGTCACAGGAATAAGCAGGGCATCAAACCTGGGTTAATATGAATGAGCTTGTATAAAGTTGCGGGTCGCACAGCTTCTGATAGCAGGTTTGCAAGTGTCTGATATTTTAAAATGTCCTCTATTTAAAAAGGAAAAAAACCCTTTTGGAATACATCGTGAAGAATGGCTTTACTTAGGTCTCCCCGTAATATTCTAGTTTATTATATCATGGTATATTAGTATACCATAACATGCTAATACAGATAGGTCCTAGTTTTGAACTGCATTCAAAACTATGGCACATCTCTCCCACCTACAGGCTGAAGTGATGCTTTCTCAAATCCATCACTGTGGTTGGTGCAACTTGCAAACCAGCTCTTAGGCAATTGCAGAATCCGATCCTTTATTTCAGGCAGAGCAGCACTTGGTGAATCCACAGCGCTTGCGAAAGCGTGCAGTGCAGCATGGGAAGGGGTGGGGTAGCAAGTCAGCCCGTGCGGTGTCCATTCCTCTGAATGTATTTTATTTCGCTGAGTCAGGTAAAGCCTTCAGCACTATTTGAATGTGGTCCATGACGCCGTTCCCTGCATTTTCTTGAGCCAGACCATAACAGGTAGCTCCATGAAAGGAAAAACAAAACAGAAGTGTCACCATCTTCTGGCTTCGACAAGTGGGACTCGCTCTTTTTGGAGCAAGAGTCGAGGCCAATGAACTTCAAATAGTTTTGCTCTTGCAAGTGCCTTACTTTATGTCTCTGTGACAACGGGCCAGCGTCTGCCTGCAGGACTTCGCTTAAAGCTGCCATTTCCAAAATTGTAATGAATCCTAATGAATATTTCTAGAGCACTTTAAAGTGTGTGGAGTGCTCTGTGTGCCTTGTCTCAGCAAGGAAATCAGGAAAGGAGATCAGGAAAGGAAGGGTGTTAGAGAGCAGGGTGGTGGTGTGGTTAAGAACCTGGTGAGCCAGGTTCTGATCTCCACTCAGCCACAGAGCTAAGAGGGTCCGGCTTTGGGCTGGGCACAGACTCTCAGCCAGCCTTTGAGGACTGAGAACAGAAGGACGAGAATGATGCAAGCCACCCTGAGTTCTTTAAAAAAGAAAAAGGCAGGCTAGAACTCCAAATACATCATAGTTCACATTATTATCCATTTCACTTCCATGCTGCAAATGGGAAGCTTGCAGATGACACTGGAATTAGAATCTTTACCCCGCTGTTTGTCTTTTGTAGTTGCCCGGAAGTGCCTGTTTTAGTGCCTTCAGCTTCTTTAGCCATTACAGCCCTGGAAAGAGCAAAGCTTTCCTTCCTATTCAAATCTGAATGGTGCATCTGATATTGAAATTGGGTATTTGAGGATTTGGACCTACTGCCTGGGAATGTCATCCATATTTCATGATGAGTTAATGAATGAAGGGGTGAAGTGTGTGATTTCATTAGAATAACTGTGGAATGTATTTACGTATGCCCTTGACTGAGGAGGGGTTCTGCTTAAGAGCCATTGCAATTGTTAGTCTCTGATTGAATACGAAATGAAACACATGTATATCCATAAGCTACCCTGCATCTCTAGGATACGGCCCTGGCATCTCTAGTTAAGAATCCCAGGTGGCGGTCCATATGCTTCTCCTGTATATAAATAATGTACAGCAGAAGCTGTGTTGCTGTGTTTTATATTGTTTCGTAAAACCAAATGACTTTAATAAACACATTCCTTTAAGAAAGAACCCACAACTCCTGCCTGAGATCTCAGGAAGAGACCGTGCCCATCAGGGTAGGTAGCAGACCATTGACTTGATCCGGCACAGAACAGATGCTTGTGATGCATGCCTTACTTGTAATTTTGTGGAAGTTAAGACGTGAACAAGAATACATGTATAGAATTGGAGGCAGTGGTAGCTTGGGGGTTTGTTGATTTCTCCTTGGATCAGTAGGGTGTTAATTCATGTTTTCCCTCTCCTTTCTGATATTTTAGGAAAAGAGCCGCCAAAGGACAGAACAATTATCCAAAAGCAACTTCGCAAAATCTCCCTGCCTCTCTACAGTATTCTTTCTGCACTCACCATCCTGGGAATGATCATGGCCAGCGCCTTTTTATTCTTTAACATCAAAAACCGAAACCAGAAGTAAGCTGTGCACATACACGTCAGGGTGGGAGTCAGCTTTCCTTTTGGGGGCTTCATGCGGACAGTGATAGGGGATGCAGGGCCACCTCTTTCCCTCTCCTCTCCGCCATCAGTTCTTCTCGCTCTGCTCTCCACACCCACGTCGCTCTCGCCAAAGACTTGAACTGATTGCTTGCGGAGAGCCTTTGACCTTTGTCTGAGGGCTCCAGCTTGCTTTGTCCTCCTTTAGATGGTTACAGGTTGCCTGCTTCCTCTCCTTGCACCTGCCCCCGTGCAAATCCTATGGACGGGCCCTGCTAGCATTAAAGCAATCGCCTGGTGTCAATCCGTAAAAGCAGCGGACAAGGTACAAAGTTGATCGCTTCACTTCAGTTGATTCCACTCCAGCCGAACTCAGGGGATTTATTTCTGAGTAAACATGTGTTGGATAGGACAGCGCAGAACCTTCCCGCCTCCACCTGGGAGAATGAAACACATGCCCCGAATTCCCCCATTGAAACAAATGTGCCTTAGAAGTGCTTAGCTTTGCCTGGATCATGCCCAGTATTTTAAAAAAATATTCTGCTTAATTGATGTTACTATATAATATCTTTGTGTTGGAACGTTTTATTAAATCCTTTTATTCTGTTAGATCAAAATTAGTGTTTTCCACTGTGTATTATTAGCATAATCCCAAGCTAATTAAACTACTGTGTAACATAAGGAGTTGCTTTTAGTATAAGAGATCAAAGACGTTTAGCCATAATAATGCTAATCTAAACTTATTTATGAAGCGAGCGTGTGTATTTACATATTTCCACAATTCAGCAGATAGAGCTGATTCAGAAATCCTGCCTGACATAGTGCATTCGTAGGTTGTTTCCAAACAGTGACATTTGCACATATCTGTGTGCTAAAATGACACATCGAGAACTTACAGGTCACATAGGAACAACCTCGGGAGCCTTCACATTTTTCCTGTTTTTGATCTGCATGTGTGTACATTCCAGTCAACCGCTTCTTGTTCCAGTCATTTTTCTCACGGTATGCACATTTTAACTCCAACGTATGAGTCTGTGTTTCAGATCATGAATGAACTTACATTCTTCTGATTTAATATTTATAAATGATGCATTTTAACAATTAATATTAATTTTTATCATTGGAGGTTATTGATAATGGCTCACAGAGCAGGAAAATACTTTTTCCTTTTCTGTTTTTGCCTTCCAATTTCTTGCACTAGGTAGCCATGATAGTGCTGAACTACTCGAAGAGGTGGGTTCCCCTATTTTCCTCAGTAGTTGGACCTCCCCTGGAATATTGTGTCCATTTCTGGGCACCAAGATTTAAGAAAATGCAGGTAAATTAGAAAGGGTCCATGGGAGGGCAACAAAATGATCCAGGGACTGGAGACACTGCCCTGTGAGGAGAGACTGAGAGAACTGGGCATGTTCAGCCTTGAGAAGAGAAGGCTGAGGGGGGACATGATGTCCCTCTATAAGCACCTGAAAGGCTGCCACAAAGAGGAAGGTCAAGATCTCTTCTTGCTGATACCAGAGTGTAGGACATGGAATAGTCAGTTCAAGTTGCGACAACCCAGATTCAGGCTGGACATCAGGAAAAGCTTCCCCACTCACTGTCAGAGCAATACAACAGTGGGACCAGCTGCCTAGAGAGGTGGTGGGCTCTCCCACAGTAGGGGCATTCAAGAAGAAACTGGACAGCCATCTGAGTGGGATGGTGTGACTTGGGTGTCCTGCAACAGCAGTGGGTTGGACCTAATGGGCCACCCTATTTTCCTCTGAGGGTAGGAAGGGAGACTGATGGTGATTATTTTCATTCCAATTCCCTCCAGAGAGGCGTGAATGTGTTTTATTTAAGACATTTATTGACTTAATAGTGGTGTGTTGATTGTTTCAGAGAGTGGGCTTTAGTTATTGGTTGTTTGTTATGTTCTTGTGCGATTTGTTCATCAACCTGGGGACGGATGGTCTCATTGCTATCAGTATGTCCTGGGTAGGGGGATAGATGGAGGTTCAGGATTAACCGGCAACTTAAGAATGATTAAACACCTTTTGCACTCAGGACAAATGAGGATTGTGCTGGCCTTTTTCTCAAATTTGATGGAGATGGTCTCATACTTGGTACTGAGAACTTCTAGGATGGTTCTGAGGCACCATAAGAAATATCCCAGATATACTGAATCTGGGGCAGTACAGAAATTCATGGCTAACCATGGTAACCAGCAGGTTCTCAGCTCAGTGCTTGTGGTGTGGCCGAGATGTGGGTTTAACATTCGGGCAGGAGAATATTGATCTGAAGGTGTGGGGTTTAATATCTGTTCCCTTGTGATTTCCGGTTGAGACGTAGACTTTTGGTAGCTTTTCCTCTCCATATGAGTTGTGTTGGATGGATTTCATTTGTTTGGGCCTAAGGTGGTGGACAGGGTTCGTATTTGGCCAGCCATTTGCATGTTTTTCCCTTTCCTGTCCTCATTTATTCTCTGCAATAAGGAGGAGATTGCCAGCTAGGTTGCAAGTACCTTTTTGAGATAGGAGGTGATACCAGCCTGTTTACAATAGGTAGCAGTTAATATGTCCTTGAAGAAACATAGCCTGAATCTGGGAGATGAAACTTACTATAGCCCAGTCCCTAATATTTCTTTCCTCTGATCCCTGATCAGCCCCAGGGTCTCCTGGATGAATTGATTTTCTAGATCCATTTCAATCCAGTTTCAGGCCTGGGTTTAGAATGGAAATTGCCTTAGTCTCCTGTGGGATTATTGTTTCCGAGGGACCATGGAATATTGGCCTCTCTGCAGCTTTCTGTAACATCGGCCCTGGTATCCTGAGTGGGATGCAGGGATGCCGTTTGGCAGTTGCAGCCCCCAAAGGAACTGGCCTGTAGTTTGAGGTATACCTAGATGTCCTTGTCAGCAGAGGTGCAGGTGATCTTGGCTGATACACCAGCTATGACTCTAGTTAGACAGAGACAGCCTTGCAACAGTTATTTACACTCTGATAATCTCTCGTGCGGATTATGCAAAGCATGGTACATTGGATTGCCTTTGGAAATGGTCCGTAAACTTCAGTTAATCCAGAAAAGGGTAGCTGATTGGAACTGTCCCCTGGAATCAGATGATCCCGGTATTTTTCCACCTGCTCTGGCTGTCCATCCAAATTCAAAGTAATTTTTTAACCTTTAAAACCAGCTTGGGGCCACGTTGCATCTCCTGCTGCATTTACCTAAGTGAACACCAAGGTCGGGATCTCAGGTGGCCTTTCCAAATGGGTGGTTATAAAAGGAAGAGCCTTTTCCGTGGTGGCACCCGAATTCCAGAATGCCCTCCCCAGAGAAGCTTGCTCATCATCTCTGTTACGGTCTTTTCAGCATGTGCTAAAGGACTTTTTATTCTCCCAGGGATTTTAAGAACTGTTTTTGATACTTTTAGAGCTCCTCACTTTGACTTTTTCTGTTGACTTTGCTCTTTACGTGCCATCAGGTTTTAACTCTTTGCTGCTGGGTGTATCTTCCTTTTCTCACGTGCCCTTTTAAATGCACTCTTTGTATTTTATGTTCTTCATATATTCTGCTCCACCCACAGAACTTGAGAGAGGTTTAAAGATGCAATAAAGAAGGCTAACCTATCTGGTCTCTGATCTTTGGAGGCTTCTGTGATTCCTTAGTGCATCCGGACTGATGCCAGCAGGGCAGAAGCAGGAACGGAGGCATTGTTTTAAAAACTTCCTCCTTATTTAGCGAAATCATGCTTCTGGGGCTGGAGAAGCCATAGGTTTGTGTGGCTATCGGCCTTCCCCTTCCCCTCCCACTGGAACACCTTCCTTTTGACCTCGGCGGCTCTTTCCATGACAAGGACTGGGTGGAAAGGTCAGATGTTGCAGTACCCTTCCTGAAATTATGCACCATGCCTGCTTTTGGGAGGGAGATATTAAAAAATCCTGTGACCTCCCAGAGATGCAGCAAAAAACCTTAAATAAATAATCTTCCTCCCAAGAAAAACCTGCTCAGTTTTGTAGAAAAAGCGAAGATTTTAATGTTATTGTCCAGGCACCTGTTGGTTCCCTTACTTAATTGTAGGTTTCCAGCTTTCTGTGGTTTCATACGGATTGGCACCATTCCTTCCTGTGTTGGTGCCCCGAGTTCCTCTTCTTTGAGAGCCCACCTGCTGATTTTACCTGTTGGTGCTCTGGCTTGTACAGGAGCCACAATCTGAACACGACCTCCTTTGGGTGACTGTTTTCTGGTCTTCTCTCTATAGGTTGATAAAGATGTCCAGTCCCTACATGAACAACCTCATTATTCTTGGGGGAATGCTGTCCTATGCATCTATATTCCTTTTTGGCCTTGATGGATCTTTTGTCTCTGAAAAGACATTTGAAACCCTTTGTACTGTAAGTAGCTCTGAACAATTTTAATAGAGATGCTCTTTATGTTTTTCATCACACCAGCCATTACACATATAATACTTCAGGTTTCTGTAGAGGTACTTCAAACTGCAATCACATGTGCTTTCGAAGTCTAAATGGATACTTGTTTGGTTTACAGTGGCCAAAATTTGGGAAAATCGGCTTTAACCAGCAGTTAGTTCTTTCTTATATGTGGTGAGAAGGAAGGGAAAGGTCGTGTCTCAAGGAGACACTGATTATACCTCCTTTCAAGCTACCTCCTTTCTGTGCTTCACAGATCTAGCCAATTTCAGACTACTCTTTATTTTTCTTGCATTGGAGAAGTCAGTTAAGTATTTGATTGAACAGAAAACTGATGTCGCATCCCAGTGCCAGGCTTGGCTTGCCCTTCCCTGAACCCCATCAGTATGACTTGCATCCTGGTTTCAGGACATAGACAACTTCAGTGCATCCAGTAGATTGTCCTAATCTTGACAAAAATGGAAATTAGAAATTGTGCCTTCTGCCTGTTGGGTCTCCTCATTCTCTCAGTGGATTTTAATTCAGTGAGCCAATATATTTTGGAGAAAAGCTGGAATATAACTGCATCCATGACTACCGTATGTTCTTGTGTAAGTGTAAGATCCCTTGGACCCCATCTGCTTTGTAAGACCTCATACTGACCATATTGCTGTAATTTGGACTGTTACATATAATTGATAAGATTGAGTGGCAGCAGTCAGTGTATGGTTAATGCCAGTCAGACAGTTCATTCTTCCCAATACTTGGTAGCTCAGCCTGACATCTAAGCAAGAGAGGGCAAGCAGCTAGATGTTTCGGTGGTGGTAGAGGTGATTCAGTCCATTTCTGTACCGCCCGTAGCCAAAGCTCTCTGAGCGGTTTGATACCTTTATTAAGAAAACTAAAAATCGCGGAGAAGTGAACTGGGATCTTAAGGAAGTGATACAAGATGCTCTTCACGGCGCCCAAGGCAAACGTTCATTGATGACCCTAAAAAATACAAGGACAAAGAAACAGGATCCACTCGACCTTTGAAAGTCAAAAAGCCAGGGCTGTTCCAAATCTGCCTCTAGCACTAATCCCAACTCATGGCTCCCCTTTAAGACACAAAGCAGAAATAAAGAGATGTGGTTGTTCTGATGTTAGGAAAACTGGAAATGCTTAGATGACATACTATGTGTAGAAGCAACATTGATCAGTATTTGACTAGTGATCAGAGAAACCCCCCTTCTTTTTCTCTCTCACCCCAATAATATCTGGAGACCTTTGACCTTTGTTTAAGGTCTAAGGGAGTGATTGTTGGAGTATCCTTTCATTGGGTTAATAGGGATACTAGCATTTGCAGATTGCCTAAAGGTAAATGTTTCCCACAAAAGAAGTTTCCTGGAAGGCAGAAGGGCATGGTAGGTCTTGCGTAATCAAAAGCAATGAGAGTTATAAAAGAGAAAATAGAGGTGAGAACATCATAGAAGACGTGGAAAATATGGACAGACTGCCAGAACTGACCAAATGGTTATTCCATTCCTGAGTAATGCATCAGCAATACTTGCTTTTGGTATCTAATGAAATGCATAGTTTAAAAGTTAGCATGCTTGAAGTGCCAAAGAAAGGTAAGCATCCAGCCACCAAAAGAAGAGCAATTAATACCCCAGTGGCCTTAACTGTATAGGGCACTGTGCAAATCTTAAAGGAACTGACACCTCTATAGCTTTAAAGGAGCACACATGCCTAACCATCATAGAAATATTCAACTGGCTTGAGCGTACTTTAATATTACAGGTAAGGAAGGGCTGGGAAATTAGTGAACCTATATTTTTATTAAAACAATTGTGACAGTGTCCAGTGAATTAATGGGGTTTGGAATTTCAACTGCTCTATGTGCAAAATTAAGTCCTAGCAGCTGTGCTAAGGAATTGCCAATCTGCATTCTCTGGCTTTCTTAATCTTATTTTTTTTTTGCATGCGGAGCTTTTGCCCTTGCTTACCTATAAAATGGACAAACGTTTCTTTGTGGAATAATGCTTAGTGAGACACTTTACCATGTTGTGCTTTTCTCCTTATAGCGAGTCTGCTTGCTTTGTTTCTTATGACCAGAATTATTTTGCATGCAGTCTGTACCCTGGCATTCAAGTCCAGGAAAAGCTGAATTTTGCAACTAAGCTAATAATGAGTTCGTTACCGTTTAAACCAGCCAAAAACCAGTGTTCCTAGGGTGCTGTGCAATACATTAATCGCTGAAATATAACAGCACATAATAAAACCAAGATAAAAGTTGCAGTTAAAAAAACCCTACAGCACCTAAAATTTAAGTAAAACCAGCAGAAAGTAATATGTGTTGAGCTCTCCAAGCTCTTAAAAATCACATCAGTGACAGAGGTGTGACTGAGAGAAATGGAGATAGTATCAGCATTTTTGTGAAAACTCCAGGATCTGCAGGTATCTTGTAAAAAACAAGGCAAACGTCGGGCAGGCTGATCAGCGTGCGAAAAGTACCAGATTAAATATCTCAATAAACATGGGAGGTTGAACCTTAAAGCCTTTGACAGGGTGCAGCTTTGCAGTCTCGGTGTAAGAAAGAGCTAAGTAGGATCCAGTATTTAAAGTTCTAAAATCAGCCAAATGAAGGTGTCCACACATGGCTGCCCATCCAACTCTTTATCAACCACCAATTATACTGTGGTTGGAAGTTAAGGGAAACGTCCTGCATATACTGGCTGAGAAATCCTGACCAGGGAACGTGGAGTTGTAGGATTCCTTCTTGTCTGAGCATGCATCAAACTGAGTGGTATTAATTAGGAGCTCTGTGGGTGAGAAGAACTCAGTCTGTATAAGTTGCAGTCCTCCGTGTATGCACCTGGGAAGTAAGCTTCGCTGAACAAAGTGCGGATTACTTTTGAGCAAACATGCAGAGGGAATTACTGTGCTGTTTGTAAAGTTAAATATTATCTCTGTCACTTACCTTCCTGGCTTCTCCCTTTCCCCTTTGCGCTAATTGAGATGTTCGGAATTCATTGTCAGACAGTTTACAATTATTTCAAGCACAAAGAAGCAAGACAAAATATAGCCTCTCTCTGGCTAGTGTCAAGATACTTGGCCCTGTGTTTATAACCCTAGTCTTAATTTTAAGAAACTATTATATTTTGTAATTACAAGATGATAAGCCAGATCCATAAAGAAAGTGTACAGTATGATTCAAATGGCTTAGTGAAAACTACCTCAACTAGGCCGAAAATATCTGGATACATAAGCTAGCTTTTGTGAATATATCCCCTTCTCAAGAACAGAGAGCTTGCTTTTATTAGATCAATTACGAAGATGTTTATGTTTGACTTTTAATGTTTATAGCTAATGTTTCTATTTTGCTTGGATTTTTCCCTTGGAACAATACAGTTGCCTGTGCTAATGTGCCTGGTGAAAAATAGAACACAAAAACTGCAGCATAAATGCTAATGAAGCAGATTTTTTTAAACTGCATCATCAGCATTGCCAGCTGAACACGCTGTTCCTTATTCAGAATAGCTGGGAAAAAGCATACATTTTTTCATTGCTTTTAGATTCTTTTCCTTCCTTCTTTTGCTCATTGTCTAATGCATATCCTTTCTTTTATGCAATTTTTCTTTCATCTTCATAAAGGCTTTATTTTTACAAATCCAGTTGAAATCAGTAGAAATTAAGAATTTATTAAGAATTTAATTTTGTATCTCAGTTTCTTTCATTGTAATGCAATTTAGGAATGGATAATCGCCTCTGGATTGCTACTCATTTTTCTGGACAGAAATGTAGGCACATCCATTAGTATCCATTTTGGTTTGCAATATTTTAGCTCATGGCTGGTTCATAGGCGCCTTACAGAATTATTCAGACCTCTCTTTCGACTTATCCACATTTTGTTGTTTTGCAATTTGGAACGAAAATGGATTTAATTGGCTCTATCACCACTTGATAATCAATGCTGCAAACAGGTGCAAAATACATTTGTTGTGATGCAAAAGTTAATTAAACAAAAACAAACTGCCAGTTGTTGGTTGCAGAAGTCTAAACCTGGTAGAAGCGCCTTTGGTCGTGAGTACAGCTAGGAGTCATGGATAAATGATGGTGAGTTTTGTGCACTCACAAACAGGCTTGCGGTGTTTGTTGTTCTTCCTGGCAAACTGCTCAAGCTTTCCCAGGCTGGACTGGTGGACAGCAGGTGTCAAGTCTTGGCACAGGTTCTCAATCAGCTTGAGGCCTGGACTTTGACTAGACTAAGATGTTCAGGTCCTTGCGTCTAAACTACCCCAGTGTTGCTTCAGCTGTGCAGTTGGGCTCCCCGGTCCTGTTGGAAGGTGAACTGCTCCTCCAGTGCCTTGCAGACCAAAGCAGAGTTTCCTGTAGAATCGGCATTACAGAAAGGATATAGCCAGGTTGGAGTCAGTGCAGCGTAGGGCCACAAGGTTGGTGGCCGGTTTGCAGGGGATGCCGTATGAGGCGAGACTGAGGGAACTGGGGCTCTTCAGCCTGGAGAAGAGGAGACTCAGAGGGGATCTGTTGGCGGCATACAGGCATGTGAGGGGATGTCACACAGAGGTGGGTAGAGACCTGTTCTCCCCTGCAGAAAAAGGCAGGACGCACTCCATTGGAGCAAAGCTCAGGGAACCCAGGTTTCCATTTGGATGCCAGGAAGCACTTCCTGACAGTCGGGACCCCAAGGGTGTGGAATGGGCTTCCACGAGAGGTGGTTGAGGCCCCATCGGTGCGGGTGTTCAAGGATAGGCTGGACGTGCACAGGGTGGGCATGTCGTGAGGGGAGCCGACTGGAGCCGCGGGTCAGACTAGATGGCCTGGGAGACCCCTTCTGACTCGCTCTGTTTCTGTGCTTCTATGTCCTAGATTTGGCGCCATCCGTCTTGCCCTCAGTTCTGGCCAGTTTCACTGTGCCATCCATTGCCACAGCACAATTCTGCCTCCACTGCCCTTCACGATAGGAACAGCACCCTCAAAGCAATGAGCACAGCTGGGTTTGTGCCACAGATAGCATTTCACAAGAAGGCCAAGTTTGTGCTCTTCAGCATCAGTGAACCATTTCCACACAGTCCCTGTTTTTCCCACATGACTTTGTGAAAACTTCAAACTGAACCATGTCCTTTCCATTTTATGAGAATAAATTTAATACTGCTGCGGAGAATGTTAGTAGTTTGGGATTTTTTGAACAACTCTGACCATGCTTGGTGCTTCCACATATTCTTATCCTGCAGTTGTTTTGATAGCTCCTGAACCTTCATGATGCCGCTTGTTTGGATGCACTTTCCATTCTGGGGCTTCCACAAAAAGACATATTTAATCAGATCACATAGCAGTGAAATTGCACACAGAGTGGACTTCGTTCAACAGCTTGTACTATGTGAATTCTGGAGGCAGTGCGTTGCACCAGAGCTTAAATAGCCCTGTCACAGCAAAGGAGGTGAATATACAACCCACAAATGACAGTTTGTTTTTATTTTATAACTTTGCACCTTTGCAGGGTTGAGTATCTTGTCAATGCCAAGCAGTAACAATACCAGTTCAGTCCATTTCACTTCCCAGTTGAATTCCACATAACAAAATGTGGGAAAGGCAAAGGGCAGGGTCCAAAGACTTCCGCAAGGCACTGTATGCAGAATGCGTCCCTTTCCACCAGTCTCATAAGCTTGAACTGCGTTTAGACGGAGAGGTGAGGTTACTCACGTTTTGGGACTGTGGGCCTGGTGCTTAAAAACATACACCAGTGGCAAGGGATGGTCGTATATTTGATGCAAGGAGGGGAAACAGTGAGGATGATCATAACCCTGCAAGTCTGGAGGATTACGCAGAGCAAGAGGAGTTCAGAAGCAAGATTTCCCCACATTTCTCCCAGTCTAAAATTCGGCTTGATGGATGACTTCAGTTGTCTAACTGCAATACTCAGAATGGAAGGGGTGAAGGTGAAGGTACCCCCAGGTTTTCCCCGCTTGATTGTGCAGGTCTCCTCCCTTCCTCTTCCCCCAGAACACTTCCCCTTTGCTGGGATCACTTTTCCACCCTTGAGGAAGCAGCCGTCACGGATCCTCCCACACTGGCTGTCGTGGCGGTGACGGGAATGGACAAGGCCATTATTTTTGGTGTGCTTTCCAGGGTCGGGGTTGCTCCGACTCTTGAGGTGTGAGGACTGTGACAACTGGGAAATGGGGAGTATGGGAATCAACATGGCAGAGGTGGGTGAAGTCACTCAAGGTCACCATTTCAAGGTGCTCAGGCAGACCAAGGGAACGGACAGGGTTTGGAAGTGAAGGGACAGGGGAGAGGAGGAAGGCAGGACCATGTCCAGTCTGGCCCCTGGCCCCATGGCATGGCATTGGGTTAGAAGGCCACCCAATCAGAGGCCCTGCTTAGTCTAGGAGGCTCGCCCTTCTCCAGAGGGACCCACCCAGAAGAGGAGGGTTTCAGAAGTAGTTTGGGTCCAGCAAATCACTTTGCACGTGCACAGAGAGTCATCTTCCGGTGGCTCTAGTTTGTTAGCTGTGGATTGGAAATAAAGAACGATTTTGCAAAGAGACTGTCTGTTGCTTGAAACGCATAAGGGGAAACCCAGCTCCTGACAGGAATGGATTGGGAATCTGAAGTCGGAGCTCTCTTCCCACCTGGGATCAGGGATCCTAAAAAACCCTGTGCTCCTCTAAATTCTGTCTTGAGGTGACAGGATTGCTCTGTCTGACTCTTTATTTAGCCTAACTTGCTCTACATTTGCAGATCACAGGTTATTAAAAAGCTAGTGATGACAAAAGCTGGCTCTCTTTTTTGTTTCAGGTCCGGACGTGGATCCTTACGGTGGGATACACAACTGCATTTGGGGCAATGTTTGCAAAAACATGGAGAGTCCATGCAATTTTCAAAAATGTAAAGATGAAGAAAAAGGTGAGTGGTATGTTCGGAGAACTGCGCACCTGATCCAGCAGTACTGCTAGTTCGCGTAGCCTGGGGCACAGAATTTAAGGTTTGGGTTGCCCAAGTGACCGTGGTCCCTTCCCTTAGTCTTGGCCCCTTTTCCAGAACCACCAATGGTGGCTTCCCGGCTTGTGTGTAGCTTTCCATCTATTCCAAATGGTTGAAATGTCTCACCTTACCGGCAGGAAGAACTTCCAGCACCAGTCCTTTTGCCCTTGGCCCTATTTCTTCGGCCTTCTACTCTCCCCACCACCAGAGGTAGTCCCTCAGCCCATTTCCTATTTGTATTCAGCTCTGAACTGAAGAAAATTCAGTCGCTAGCTGCAAACTGCTCCTGCTGGAAAAAGAGTTGTGTGTACCGGGATCGTGCTCATGATAGATAAGCCAGAATTTTCTGCCATGTGTGTGGCCATTTTGTTAAGGGTGTCTCCTGCGTGGTAGAGTTGGAAGAGGGGCTGTTGAGCCCAACCCGTCTCAGTTCAAGAAATATCCTTGACAGTCTCTGCTGGAAACCTCCAGCAGTAGAGGGCCGGCTATCTCCCTAAGCAGTGAGAGGGGACATCAGCTGATGCCGACTTGACAAAACCAACGTTACTCCAGCCAAAAATACTTTGGGAGCCCTTGCCAAGACATGACTGGGACTTTCCATCCCCTGTTCAGGTTGATCATGGTGGTGCATTCTTAGACTACATCCCATCCATGGGATCAGGCAGCCAGCTGAGACGGGGCATTTTACCGTAGAAGCACTGAGTCAGGATGTGATCTGCAGAAGTGATGGATTCTGGATGTTCTTCCAGTGGAGACAGATACTTTGCAGCTTAGTCCTGGGCATGTTGCTACTGCCCGCCGTGCTTGTCATCTAGCTGTGGATCTGCTCCCGGACCAGTCCAAGCGCCTTTGTCCCCTTTCAATGAAATGCTTCAGGCATGGCATCGAGACCACTGGTGTCCCTTCCCTGTCCAGAGGTTGAAGAAGTCGTTATACAGTGTGCTCAGATGATGGGAGACCTTATGATGGTGGTGATCTCAGAAGAGCAGGAAGAAACGCTTCTTGCTCCCATGTGCCGTCTGATAACATTGGTCACTCAGCGGCATGAAACAGCCGGTGTGGTGTGGTGGTCAGTGCGCTAGGTATGGAGTTGGGAGGTGCAGCTCCATGAAGCTCACGAGGTGATTTGGGGTCCTTCATTCACTCCCAGCCTAACCTGCCCCACAAGATTCTTCCTGTGAGCATAAAATGCAGCCCTGTAAGCCTCGCCAGAGAAAAAAGTGGGATATAAATGCAGAACAGCAGCAGCATGGAAAGAGCCATGGTGGATCAGACCAAAGGTCTGGCTTCCTGATGCCCAGTGACCAACCTGTGGGAGATCTGCAAGCGGTAGCACTTTCCTGCCCGTGTTTCCCAACAGACTGCCTCTGGTACTTAGAAGTAATTTATAGCTATTTTGGCTAATAGCCAACAATAGCCTTGTTATCCATGAATTGGCCCGAATGCCTTTTGGAACTGGCTGAGTTGGTGGTCCCCAGTACACCTTGTGGTGGCAACTCCCACGGGTTAAGTATGTGCTCTCTGGAGAAGTACTTCCTCTCTCTTCTGAATCTCCCACCATGCAGCTCCATAGGATGACCCCCAAGTTCTCACACCGTGGGCGAGGGAGAGAAGGCCTCCCTATCTTGACAGCATGTATAGTTTTGTGCACCCCATATCCATGTTGTCCTAAGCTACAACTCTCTTTCACAGACTAAGGATGTCCTGTTCTGTGTGTGGAAGTGAAACCAGGCAAAATAGTTTCCCCCACTACTTCCTTTTCCCCTTCCCATCCTTTGGCCTTTTTCCCTGCCACCAGTTAGGATTTTTTCCCCCTCTGGCTTCCTACATCAAACTAGCCTTGAAATTCCTTGGGTTTCAAGTATCTACTTTAAAAGTAGTCTGGAGGCTGGCTATTAAGATAGTTTAATGTGGAGTTTTTCACTGGGCAGGGGATTGGACCCAGTGGCTCTCTGGACCCTTCCAACTCTGTTATTCTATTAGACATGGGATGGATACTCAACAAGAAAAGAAACTTAGAAAGTTTTGCAGAACAAAATTATAAAGTTAAAAAATATACTTTAAACATTTAAATTGTAAGGTTTTTTGAATTCAATAACCTCCATCTAAGCAGTACCATCAAAACAACTGCTCTTTCTGCGGTATTGCTTATGCAAGTGGACACCCTTCTGAGGAAGGCAGCGGAGAAGCAGATCCCAAAGCTCATGATAGTTTCTGCACCTGTTATCTCACTGAACCTCAGCGGAATGGCGGCCTTTGCCAAATTCTGGTCCTCAGGGAAGTACACTTGACCTTGATCCCAAGTTTGCTTTCATCCTCCTCCTCCAGTAAGGGAACTTATATCCATAGATCTGCACGTTCCATCAGTGAAAGGCACTATGGTTTCCCTGAGTATCTGTGCGGTGCAATCCCACCGTTGTTGCCCCATCATCTCATTGTGGCGCCAGGGTTTTGGCCAAGCGCATGGCCCTGTGTTGCCTCCAGGAGGTGTTGGTGTATCCCTGTAAAGATTACTCTTCATTTTCTCCATCTCTCAGAGTGAGGATCCTCAGGGCCATGTCCATTGTTTGCCATTGATTGAAATGGGTCTACTCTGAGAAGGACTGGCATGGGATACAATCCAGAGTTCCCACTTAAGAAAGAGAGGGTGGGAGGAGGTAACCCCAAATTTTTTTGGTCTGTGAGTATCTGAATATAATTCCCAGAATCTGGGCAGTTGCATCTCTCCTCTTGTGCCCATCTTCTCCTCGCCTCGCAACACTGGCAGCTCTGTTTCGATAACTTAGTTCTTTCGTCCACTGAGTTCTATTAAGAAATAGCAAACGGAGGGGCTTTGTGTGTTTGTTTGCTGGACAGACTGCAAAACGTGAAACAGTTAACAGTACATAACTAGGGTGAAGCCAAACCATGGTAAATGCAGTGGTCATAGTTACTACTTCTGTTTCCTGAAGAATCAGAAAACATGTTTTTCAGGAAAATAACAATTTCACAAAATGTGGATGTTTAGAGAACATTGCACTGAAATTCTGGGAAAATGCGTGGAGGCCCTCGCCTCGCCTAAGACTGGCACAAAGGGGGGCTTTTTAGCACTGCACTTTCTGCAACCTTGAGATTGTGGGAAACCTATTAAAAGTTTGCTGCTATGAAAAGATACTCAGAGGATTCACATAATGTTGGAAGAAGGTTCACATATGACTTGAAGGGCTGATTAAAGGATTCTTTTTTAAAGGCTTTACTCTGTTATTTTAGGGAAATGGTTCTGCTTCTTAAATGAGTTCAATTTCACCCCCTCTCTCATGGAATACGTCATAATCAGCAACATGGTTTGGACATGGGAATCGGTTGGGTTTGCTCGGTTCCCCAGACTCCAGTCCACTTTCTCTCTGCTCTAAGTCCAATTCATGCCAAGTGTTCCTATGGGTGTGCAGCAGGAAGTGTTGACCCTTTGTATAGTCTGGAAAGTGCAAAAGAGATGATTCCAGGCAGATCTTCACACCACTAACCATCACAGGGAGCAAGCAAAAGTGTCTCCATGCTAGAACTCACCCTGGACTCCAACGACAACACATCCTGATAATCAGTCTCATCCAGAAGTGCCTAGAGTTGATGTCCGCCACATATACAAAGACCTTACCTAGGAAGCCACCAGCCTGAAATGATTGAAATTTTCCAGGTCTAGCAACAATTTCTTCGGACATGGTCTTTCAGACAGTGTGAAACCACTCCTCCTCCTCTGGCCAGGTGAATTGTTCCCTCCCCCTGGCTTTTATAAGTCAGGAGAGGCCAGGATCCAGTGTGGAAGTAGGAGCCTGAATCTGGCCAAGCACCTTGTCGGCATCCTCAAGTTGTACCTACTGAAACCAGTTCAAGAAAACCGAAGTTACCTGTGCCCTGAACGACTCGCCTGATTCAGCTGCTGTAACACTAGAGGCTAAGTTCCAGCAGATGCAAGATTTTTCATCTTGGAACTCCCTAGCAAATAACTTGCAGCAGCTTTTAAGTGGATCTAGGATGTCCTTGGAACTAGGCAAACTTGGCAAAACCGTTGGATTTCAAACGAGATGTGTAGGGGATGTGCTGAAACATATACTGATAAATTCACATTATTAATGAACTGGAACCAATGAGATTCACCCGTCGTTTCTAATGCGACTTTTAATCCTGTGCACATAGTCTACTCACAAGTAACAACCCCTGAGTTTTGCAGCATTGATTTTGAGATTGCCACCCTAGAGTTTTATTAGCACCCTGAAACCTGAAATCTTACGCATTATATTAGATGTTCTTCAAAGTCCTGTCTGATTTTCTAATACATAGTGGGGTGTGAGGAAATGAATTCATAGAAGTGAAAGTCTCCATTTTAAATACAATGGGCATCAAATGCACTGTTGACATCATTGCATCTGTTGACAATGGATATACAAACATAGAAACAGAGTTAGTCAGAAGGGGCCTCCCGAGACATCTAGTCTGAGCCCTAACTCCAGCCGGTTCTGCTCATGACATGCCCACCATGTGGACGTCCAGCCTCACTGATGGGACCTCAGCGACCTCTTGTGGAAGCCCATTCCACACCCTTGGGGTCCTGACTGTCAGGAAGTGCTTCCTGGCATCCAAATGGAACCTTGGCTCCCTGAGCTTTGCTCCATTGCAGCGCGTCCTGCCTTCCTCTGCAGGGGAGACCAGGTCTCTCCCCACCTCCGTGTGACACCCCCTCACATACCTGTATGTCACCAACAGATCCCAACAATAATTTACATTAAGTTTTTTCATTATTGCAAGAGTTTACTTCAAAATAAAAATAATTATGAACCTGCAGCTTAAAATTATAAGGGAATTCACAGTATAGGTTGGAATCAGGTCAGTCAACGTGACCAGTTCTTGTTTCTAAACAGGCCTGTGAAGAATTGCATTGTAAATTACTTGCCACTCGTTCCCATTTAAATCAATGGGATATAAGTTAGGTATTTATTAAATTGCCCCATTGTTTTCATGTGGACTGAAGGGCAGCTGGCTTACTCTGTCTCCAGAGTAAATGCAACTTCTAAAAACAAAGAGTCGGGGGAACCTACAGTTCTTGAGCTAATGATGGGCAACCCTTAGCCTAATTCCCAAAGCCCTCTGAAAGCAACAAGTTCGGACCTCTGGCAAGAATACTTTGCTCCTTCCTCAATGGGACAGGGACAAAGGGAGGGAGAAAAGGGAGATGAGTCAGTAGGGGGGTCCATCTAAATCTCATGAACATGGCCACATGTCCCGTTTTGCAGAGGAAAGTTGTGTATTTGAAGGGCTGTCAAAGAACAGTCTTATTTTTGAAGCCATCCTCTGTTTCAGTGGCTGTCTGCTTCAAGTCGGGTTTAAAGCTAGAGAACTTGGTCATTGTTTCCCCATTTTGATAAGATATAGTTCAGCTTAATGTGCATTAATTTTCTCTAGCTTTGCATCTGTGTGCATAAATTAGCACATGCAAGTTTTATGCAGAGTTCTGTCTTCATCTGTTGCCTTTTTTTTGGTGATGCGTAAATAGCAGCCCTATCGCCCGTTTCAGCCTCGCACACCACCAATGCGTAACTCCCAAGACAATACGCTGCTCCCCAGAGAAAAGGCTTTCCCGCCCCTGCTTCAGATCAGCAGGTTGATGCTTTTCTTTGCTTCATTTCCTATGGAATATGTTTTATTTATGTGACACCTTTCCTTCATGGCACTGTTTCACCAGTCTCTCTTGATCGTCACAGTAGAGCCTACTTATTTTGCTGCTTATATTTTCTTTAAAAGGTTGCCAAATAAAAATCTAGCTTTTATGACTCAGAGGGCTTTTTTTCCTGTGTACAACTTTGCAGCCATTCTCTCCAGCTCCTTTAGAGTTTAGATTCATGCTCCAGAAGTCGTCTTCCTTGTTCACAGCAACCTCCTCCTCTCTGACTTTTGTTTGCCACACTGTAGCCCTACGGCAAGTGCTGAGGGCCAGTTGCTTCCAAAGACCCACACACCACAAGCACAATTTCTCCTTTTTTGAAAAATCCCCAAGAATATCAGGAGACCATCCATTAGAAAGTTCTTTTGCCTGAAACTGTCCTGTTAGGCTTCGGTCCCGCAGGAATATTTGTCTGTGGGTAACATTTTCACCTCATTCCAAACCTTTGGCCCATTTTCACCTCATTCCCCGCATCTCCAGCTGTCCACGTGTCACAAAGAACAGTGGTGTGATTCCTTATTTTGCTTCTGAAAGTGAAGGTCCTGCTTCAGAGCACGGAGACGGAATGGAATGGTGTTGCTGGGTATTTTTGCCTCTCCGTTACTGCAGTCTGTAGATAAAGGAAGTTGAATCATTACTTTATGGTTTGGGCTGGAAATGGTCATGAATGTAGTTCAGCATAAATAGAGCATCAAAAGCATGTGAAATGTTTTATATGTGTGCAGAATATTTTTACATTCTGAATGTTATTGTCTGTTCCGTTCTCTTCACTCTGTATGATTTAAATGTTTGTGCTCTTCGACAGGCAAGCAGGGAAAGCAAGCAAATGTAGCTTGCAATATGACCTTTTCCTGTCTTCCAGTATCACAAAGATCTTTTCAATGCATAATTAAAAAGCCTCGTTAGCAGCGGTGCCTAGCTTTATTTATGGCAGTTAAGAGAAGCTCCACAGGCATCTCAGACTTACATGGGAATACCCCTCCATAATCTCTTCTTTCTCTCCCTAGATCATTAAGGACCAAAAACTGATGGTGATTGTTGGAGGGATGTTGCTGATAGATCTGTGCATCTTGATTTGCTGGCAAGTTGTTGATCCCTTGAGGAGGACGGTGGAAAAATACAACATGGAGGTATGTCACTGCAGCCCTGCTATTTTTCCATTTGCTGCTGGAGATCGAAATGCAAGTCAGTTAATGAAAATACATTAGAAGAGGTCAGGCATGCATTTTTTGAGTGGACGAGATAGAAAAGAACTTTGACAAAAGAAAATTGCATCTACATTGTAAATACAGCCCTGCATCTCTGCCATGCTTAAGAGGTTTTAGATGCAGTAATGTTGTAAACACAGGGGCGTTCTCTACCAAGAGTCTATAAGAGATGGCATTGCAATAAATAATAGATTTTCAGACTCCATTAGCAGAATTCATGAGGAATTAATGCAAGCTAGACACAAAATAAAAACTTAAAATCATCTGCGTAAAAGATCTCTGTATCCAGAGCTATGTTTTCATCGCTATCACAAATCTTTAGTTATTTATTGTAATGCCAATAGTCATTATTTTGGTCAGCCAAATTCAATTTATGCGTAGTGACCAGTCCTGCGTTAATGCCATTCTAAAAGGTCACCTCGAAAATATAAAGGTCAAGAATGGCAGTTTTCATAGTTTGTTGTTTGACTAATCAGACTTCCCAGTTGTGTGTGATACCTTTTCTAGAAGGAAGGTCTTCACGAAGTAGCACATTTCAAAGCAAGCAGTATGTCCATATGGTTTCGTAAAAGGAGCTCTCTATTGCTGAATATCCTTAGGTGTTTACATCAAAGTGAAATATGTTTGAATAGATTAGTTTGTAATGGAAATTATAAATGTATGTTAAACTTTTTGGTCCACTAGTAAGAAAAATGGGGGGGGGGTTCGTTAATGTAAATGTCAGCTAGTTATGCTTCCTGTGTCTTCTAACCTAGTCGTAAACCTATCATGAAGTTGCAAATACAGCAAGGCTATTGGTGCTTTTGATGTATAAGCAAAACAGGGATTGGAGCAGCAGCAGCAAGATGTCAGAGGTGCCTTGCAGATATTTTGAGAGCCTCTCTGGAATTTTGTGGGAGACAGTGGTGACTTTGGTGCTTATAAGAGGCTATTCCTTAATCAGAGCATCTCAGTCCTATTGTGAATTATACCTGCTGGTTTCTACTCTGTATGATTGACTGGGACCATGGATCTGTGTTTCTAAGTCAGAGATGTGTTCTTGTGGATCGGTTCTTCAGACGTGAGGCTTTTGGCCTCCTGAGAGATACTCAGCACTGTAATAGACCTGCTACTTCTAACAATTAGGATAGCTAACATTCATGATAATACAAATGTCTGAAGAGGGATTTAACATTAAAACGTGGTCTGTTGCTATCTTTGCAACTTGAAGACTTTTTTTCTTTATGCTCAAAACCGTGGGTAAATGCTAAGGCAACATGGCACAGACAAAATGATAGGGGAATAAAGAAGTCAGTATCCAGAACTATTGGGGAGCTGTTAACAGTCTGGCTAAACACTTTTCAGTACTGAATTGGATAACAATGTTGATCCCACTGTGTAGCTGTTGTGAAAAAGGCAAATTCTGTGTTCAGCGTAATTAGGAAAGGAGTTGAAAATAAACCTGGCAAGATCATTCTCGTTTTATATGACAATATATTGCAACCAAGCCTTGAAAAATGTGTACAGCTGTGATCATTGCACCTAAAAAAGAGACATTGTAGAATTGGAAAACATGCAGAAAAGGGGAGCTAAAAGGGTCACAGGGCTGAAGCAACTCTAGTTGTGTAAGTATAAAAGGAAATCAGTTGAATTCCTGGAGGGAGAGGCTATCAGTGGTTGGGTACATACTGTCCCCTGTATCAGAGGCAGTTTTCTGGGGAACATGAGCAAAACGGTGGTATCGTGCATGTCGGAGTTCCCTCAGGCAGCTGGTTGGCAACTTTGTCAGCAGAAACTTTTGGTCTGTTCCAGCACAGCTCTTCTTGTGTTTTTATAAACCACTATTCAGATTCTGTATGTAAGACAATTTCCTTTGTTTGTGTGTGCAGGTTTACTTAAATAATAAATATGGCCCATCGTCATCCTGTTGGACATCTGTATACTAAATAATGTTGCTCAGGCTCCTAACCTTCAAGTACCCTTCATGTATTATTTTTATTGCTATCATTCAGAATATACACATTAATACTTCAGAGATAGGTGTCTTATCTGCATAGAAGTATGGCTCGTTGATTTCAGTGGGGCTTACGCCCAGGTAAATGGTATAAATTTACAGCCTAAAAGTAATTGATTGCGGTTACTTTTTTAAAAAAACAAGGAAGATCGCCTGAATATTCAAAATTGTTTAAAATGTCATTATAGTTGTATTTGTATACAGTTTCATAAAAGTGAATATTATTCATGGAAGAGTACAAATTAAAACATTAATCTTTAGCAGTTGAAAATAAAAACATAGAAATAATGATCAGGTAATCAAGATTACATTGTAAATAGATTTGATTTTAAGAACTCTTACTGCAAATTATCACCCATCTGAACAGTGGGAGGCTTATATGTTTTTAGTGAATTTTTAGTTAATATTTTCCCCCTTTTCTTTTCTTTTTCTTTGTGCAGAAAATTCCTGGGTATTGGTTGGTTGTTTTTCTGCATCTTGTAAGTCAAGAAAAAGAATGAAAGAATGGACAAATTAGGGATAAATTAATCTGTCAATTCCAATTTCTCTCCCATTGTTCATTCTTTCCAGTCTTTTGTTCATTCTTTCCTATTTCTGTATCAGTTTGCTTAATTTTTAGTTTATTTTTAAATGCACATAGAAATTCAAATGCATATGATCACTTCTCCTAATAAACACGTTTTATGTTCAATTTGCCTAATATATGGCCTTTGCAAGCAATATATTATATTGTTGCTTGTTATTTCATGAATATAAGCATTTTTCTGCACTTTCCCTTAATATGCACATTTATGTATGAATTTTCTGATTGGAGAACTGCATCCTGGCATACCGATTACTGGGAATGCAGAAGGATAACAGACTTCAGTTTGAGAATGGAACTGGGATTGTGAATACATTTCTCTTTGATCCCTGATGTTGGTGCCCAACCCATCTCCAGCTGCTTGGGCCGGTTTGAGTCAGTTATGAAAAACGAGTTGTGAATGATTTACCCATCTTTTACCTTCTCTCGTAATGACCATGAGCGATTAGTCTCTGATTTAATCTCTGCCTTTCATTGTAAAGCTGTGGTGCTCAAAATATTCATAATGCTGATAATCGCATATCATGAGCCCAAGCAAGAATTTTTGCATTATATGAGGGTTCTGTGTATCCGGAACTGAGGGAAGTGAGCTTGGCCGGTAAATTTGAAGAGAAAATCGTTCACACAACAAAAATACACTTCCCTCTTTTTTAGTAACTTATTTAAAACCGTGGTTTGTGTACCCTACCAGCTGCCTTTCTCCTTCCTCTGCACTCCCCCCAAATCTGCCCTTGGAGGTTCAGGGGGTCCTCTGAAGCAGATGGGGTGAATCCGCAGGGGTAGGGGGGCACGGGAGGTCTTATTGTGGGTGTGTTCATGTAATGTTGGATTTAACCCCTGAACCTTAATCTTCCCTATGGAAATCGGTTGGGAAAGGAGGGAAAGCTCTAAATGGCTGTGGACCAAATAACGGAGGCCTCTTCCAAGTGCCTCCATCTTCAGAAGCTTGGTTGGGCGTTACCAAGAGCATCATATTTTATGACATCATATATATATGAAGCACCTCACACAGAGGCACCCATGTGGCATGGATTCTGTTTTTCGTTTGCTGTTTGATTGGATGGAAAGCGTCTTTCGCTGCTGGTATCTTATTTTTATTAGATTTTTTTGGTTTTATATTTGCTACCTTCTTGGACTTAATTTTTGCTTTGATTTGTTGGTTGTTTGGAGGTTGTGGATAAATATCATAAATTTAACAAAAATTGTGTCTCTTTGGTAACTGGAAATTTATCTTGCAAGTATCCGTTTGGGCGTTAACCTTGCTGTAGACTGCAGGAAAGCTGTTATTCAGGCCTTTGTTAGAAGTAGGAAGCCCGACGTGACGTGTGCCGCTCCCAGTGGTGTTTGTCTACGCACATCACGCGCACTGGGAACATGTAGGAAAGAAGGAGCATTGAAATGCTTGTGGCTTATGGCAGGCTGTTCCAGTTTGAGGGAAAATGCGGAAGTTTCCTGAGGTCGGTGAGGAACACCAACGGGAGAGTTCGATCTTAGTGAACGGGTGACCAAACAATGCCTTCCCACACCAGCTTCCTCATGCCTGCTGGGATAGCCGTGGCAGGGAAAACAGCAGTTTCCTTTTCCTCACTCATGAGTAGGAACCAGATTGTGGGAAGGAAGGCCTCCCCGTGCACCAGTAGCATTCAAAGCTGCAGGTTGAGGCAGAGATATTTCCAGATGATGTTGATACTTTAGATGAGCAAAAGGGTGAGATGAGTAGTCAGGAACAAGGCGTCACGACCCATCCTGAAGCTCATCCATGGTGTCCCAAACTGTCCCTGCTTTTAATACCTGCACTGACGGGATGTGTGCCTGAGTGTGTTTAAATTCTTGGCATTTTATCCGTAGATATTGTGACTTCATTTTTAATTTGCCTCTCTTTTACATGCCCTGAGCTGGCTAGGATGCGAAAGCAATTTGTCTATTTAAGAACCATCCTCTCTCTAATGGAGAACCAGTGGGGTGTAGTGGTTAAGAGCATGGGACTGGGACTCAGGAGATCCGGGTTCGAGTCCCCACTCAGCCATGGAGCCAACTGGGTGACTTTGGGCCAGTCACAGACTCTTAGCCCAACCTACCTCACAGGGTGGTTGTTGTGGGGATAAGACGGAGGAGGAGAATGATGTAAGCTGCCTTGAGCCCTTTGTAGGAAAAAGGCAGGCTACAAATTGAAAAATAAATAAATAATGCTGATTCACGATAACGAGACCACGTACATCAATACAAAGAAATCACAGGTTTCTCTCCACCTTACAAAGGCACCAGGCAAACAAACAAAGGGAAGTAGAGAGATAGATTAAATCAATTAAACAGTCTAATTCCCCTGGTCGGTACCAGTTCTAAGTC